GGTAACCCCCTCCAGGACTTCACCAAGGAAGATCGGAGGAGGGCCAATGAAAGGGCTCGGGACTACCGCTGGAATGAGGGACGATTGGAAAAACGGAAAACGGATGGTAGTGGGATTTGGATGGTAGTACCGCACCCGTTCATGAGGTATGAATGGGTGAAGACAGCGCACAAGGAAATGGCTGCCCACTTTGCCGTACGGATCACGAAGGCGGCGATCGACAAAAACGAGTGGTATTGGTCCAATATTCGTGACGATGTGAAATTCGTCGTCACGAACTCTCAAGTCTGTGCTGCTGACAAGGCGCCGATTCAGCCGCCAAGATCGATAGTGCCAACGGTAGTTGAACGGCCTTTCCAAAGGGTTAGCATGGATACTACCAATATTGTGGTACCCCCTGAACCCAATAGCTATGAATATTCAGTCCTACTCGTGTTCGTGGACCATTTTTCGAAATGGATCGATGCATATCCCTGTCGTACGCGACAGGTGGCCGAAATTGCTTGATACGTCAATCGGTTTTTAGGGATGCACCAGGACACGGAGGAAATTTTGACCGATAATGGGGTAGAATTCAGGGGGGAAGTCTTGAGGAATCTAGCCGTACACAGCGTCGCTATTCGGAACACCGCACCCCATATGTCGCAATCCAACGGGCTGGTAGAAAATGTCAATAGGGTGACAAAGACTGCGCTACGACGCAATATCGCGGCACGGGACCCCAGACCCTGGCCGGATATCGTAGATCACATCTTGGCGGTCCATCGAGGGACGCCCCACGAATCAATGGGCCTGAGCCCGTTTCAGTTAAGGACCAATAGCGTGGCTTATGTTTCAATACCGAGGCTCCCGGACGAATCTTGGTTGAATTGACGGCCCGCAAGGGCCACGGTTCGAGACAAGGCCAAGCGACAACTGGAACTCATGGAAAGGTCCCTGCCCCGATTGGCCCGAAAACGCCCGAAAATGACCGAGTTGGCCCACGGCCGCCAAGTCCGTAGTTACGAGGCCCGAAACGGGAACGCGGGTTCGCGGCCCCAATATAAATAAGGGGACTTGGTGCAGGTAAGGAAATGTGCTCGCCAAGGTAAGCTAGCGCCACGATTCTTCGGGCGATTCCGAGTAATCGAGCTTGGAGCAAACGGAGTGAACACCGTGCGCCTCGTGCCGGAGGTCTCGGGAAGCCGATCGGCGCGCCCGATCGTTCGCCACGTGTCTTACCTGCGTCCCCTCCCTCCCCATCTCTTGCGCCATCTTTTTCTTCGGAAGAAGACGACGTTTCTCCATCGCCATCTTCTTCCCCTGCATCTCTTGCCTTGTCCTCTACTCCGTCCCCACCACCATCTCCATGAGCTTTGTCACGGAACGAGCCCTGGACGACCATCTCTTAACGCCACGGGGTTACATCTCAGCGATTCGGCTTGTTCGTCAACCACGGTTCAATCTGGATCTTCTGCGACTGACGCAGTTCTTCTACACTTCAGGAGTGTACGCAGCGGCCGAGTTCCGATTCGCGGGCAGTCCTCAGGCGGTCGTGTTAGCAGAGACAGTGGTTGTACATCGGCGGTCAGCTCCCGGGATTAGCCACGTGTCCACGGTCGTCGGCTTCAGCGGCGATATCAGTACGGTCAGTGCGCTACGACATACGGCCATCCAGACGTCATTGAGGGAGTGGGCGCAACAAGTGTCGAAGAAGTGGAACCACTGGCTTACAGGCCACAAAGATAATCTTTTTCCCACGGACGGCATCGAACTCGGTGGTATTCGGGCGTTCGAGCATGAGCCAGCGGTGGTGCTGCCGAAACTCATCCCCTTCCAGCATCGTCGATGAACCGCTCCCAACTCTCCACCTTCGCCCTCCCATCTCTCTTTCCCACCTTCTGGCAGTCTGGAGTCCACCATCGCTTCTCCTTCTGTCTGGAGCCGTTCGCTGTCCCCCTTCTCGATCCCGCACAGTTGAGGCGCTGGCGTGAACACTTCGTCGATCTGTCGGTTTGCCTGATCGGAGTACGAATCCCATGGACCAAGGACGAGGAACATCGCGAGTGGTTTGAGTACTTGGAGTTGATGATCGTTCAAGCCTGGAGGACCGACGTGGAAGACGATCTTCTCGGATTCCTGTTCGGATCGGTGCGCCCCAGTCATCGCCAGCCGATCACCTTAGAGCTGACGACCCCCCTTGTGCAGTTAGCAGGCGATCTCCCATTTGAGATCATCTCGTAGAGTGACGAGAGCCCGATTCCGCATGTCCTCACGCGGACTCTAACGCCGTATCTTCAGTGGTCGGCGTGCCTGGAGGAGCCAGGAACCAGCCGCAACCCGCCTTTGCAGCGGGATTATCTGGACCCATGGGAGATCATCCATCTCGCCTTTTTCCAAGTTCGAGCGGCCTCCGAGGACGAAGAAATAGAGATTGAGGAAGAGAGCGTTGAAGAAGAAGAAGCCGCCGAAGAGGACGAGGAGGAAGAAACCCCGGAGGAAGGCAGTTATAGCGAGCACAGTGAGGGAGAGCAGTGTGAAGGCGAGGAAGAAGACGAGGAAGACGAAGAGGAGCTAGAGCTGGAGGAGTCTAAGTGGGAGATCTCGGCGGAGGAGCTCGAGCGAACAGAAGTGGAGCAGGCGGAAGACCCCGAAGCGGCGTGCAAAAGAGACGAAATCGCGGCCGTAAAACGACAGTTGGAGTTTGCCAGCATGGCAAATTTGCCGATCACCGAGGATCCGGCCCGCGATCCTGAGCCGCCCAAGCTTGAAGATGGAGAACAGGCCGAAACTTCGAGCGCACCGGTAGGACGGCGACGAAGTCGATCCCCCTCCCCCTCCGCCCCCGACCGTCCATCAGTTCGAGCCCGTACTGATACGAGGCATTAGGCTTCGTCCCGGGTCGTTATCCCGCCGTCCCCTTGACTACCTCACCCTCTGTCAAGTCACCACTCGTGTCACCTTCCCCCGTAACCCCTTCCCCATCGATACCTTCTGATTCTTCTACGCCACTCGCCTCATCATTACCATTCACCCCCATCCCTCGACCCGATGTGCCCTCCCCGATTTCTACCTCCATACCCTTCTCCTCAGTACCGCGTGGTGAGACCACAATATGATCGAGGTTTATTGCATGATAACGGGGACTATCCCCGCATGCAAAAACCACGATCATTTTCACGCGGCACTTTTTCGCACCTTTACCACCCTGTATCCCGACTATCTCGCCTTCCTCCCGCACACTGGTAATCGCTTCCCCCGTTTCCACCGGATTGTTCGTTACCAGGAGCTCCCGGAAACAGTAGCCCAGGTAGAACGATTCTTACCCCCGCTTCCAATGAACCCTCCCCCTCGCCATGCCCCCCATGTACCGTCTCCCCTTCCCCCTTCCTGGCGGACACTGATGATCGTCGATAAGTTGATTGGTGTGCGTGCCACAACGACGACACGAATGATCCCCTACTTGGATTGTCGACAACCCTCCTGAGGAAATTGTAGGACAGAGCTTGCAGGCCACGTTGGATGACGTCCACACTCTTTCACACGGTAAGTGGCCATGCAGAGAGCTTCACACGTCGATCGATTAGAGAGATCGACATGTGTCAAGATTCAAGCAAGCAGGAGCTTGCTTAACATTGGAACCCCCTGGGCGTCACATATGTGACACCCCGATTTTCGCACCGTGCGATTTTTTGCGCGGTAGCGACGAGGGGTCCTAAGCCCGGTAAGCCGGGAAGGATGGGCCAATTACGGGAGATTGGGATGGATGGGAAATTGCATCGGTGTCCTCGCTTCTTCGTCTTTTTGCGTCGGTTCCTTTCAGATCGCTGGTTCAGGCCCGGGTGGGCCCCGGGACAATTGATTGGTTGATTGGCTGTGTGAGTGGTGCGCCGCCGTGCGCGCGAATAATAAATGTTGACGTCGCTTCTTTTGTTTCGGTTGTGGACTTTTGGACGTGGACATCGCGCGGGAATTCTGCCTCGTTCTTTTTGAATTTTTCCTTTTGAATTTTTTTTAAAAAATCTTGTCGAGCCTAGATGGCTCTCGAAACTTCGGATTTTCCTTTCGGAATTTGCGTTTTTTCTCTTTTTGCATTAGATAGGAACTTAGGAATTTAGGAAATTGAAATTTCTTTTTGTGCACGCTGTTTCGCTTCTTTTTGTGGCTGCGCCAGAGTTCTGATTAACCGGCGCCCTTAATCTTGTGTGTAACTGTAATTTGGGCGGACGCCATTGTAACTGTATCTTTCTTCTTGAACTTTGCCCTTCCCGCCCTTCTTCTCTTTCTTTTTGCTGTGTCTTGGTAGACGTGGTCTTCATGATCGGATCGATGCGTGGAGAGCGGCTACGTCCCCCACGCCGCGATCTGGCCATGCAGACTGCTACAACGCGCTTCAGATGGTCACGCTGGTATATTAGTATTCCAGCTAATGGGTAAGCCTTCAAACTTGATGCTCGCTGGCTCCACCACTCCACCCAGGGAGGTATGCGGCGTTCCTGCCAACAGGTAAATCTCCAATCATGCGGCAATCCCCACGCTACTTCCCTCGATTCGCTCGACAGAACCAATTAAATCCACCGCCAGAACATGGCGATACACACTGTCCACCTCACAACCTTGCGGGAGGAGGAGGTGTTGGGAGGCTGCCTCCACCGGTACGATGAGCCAATACCGAAATGAACCTTCAGCCAAAACGTGGGAATGTACGCCTCCTCCAAGCTGCTTCGGTCGTCAATCCTAACAAGATTCGGGACAAACCTTCCGCCAGGTATCGGCTAGGTGCATTAGCACCTCGAACATCTCTCCATCAGCTAAGAAGGATAACGCAACGTCCCACAAGTGAGCCTCCAACCTCACTACCTTCACATGCAGGGCTTTTCACCAGTCCAGCGAGTAATGAATCCGCCGCCCGAACACGGAAATGTGCACTGCCATCAACCGTGCGCTCAGATTCGAACGCCCCTTGTCACAGGCAAGCCTCCAACTCGGCGACTGACCTTACGTTACTTCCATCCACTTAATGAGTTTAATCGAATGGACCTGCTGCCAGTTCATAGAGGAGTACGCTACTATCGCGTGTGTGTACACGTGAGCGAGAGAGAGAGAGAGAGTTTTTCTCGATAAGGTGAACAATGCACCCCGCCCGCCGCGCGACTGGCCTCATGCTCCTTCTAGTGCAGGATGAGAAAAACCGAATGAACCTTCCGCTGGAACGCGGAAAGTTACACGCCAGTTCACAGCTACTCTACCTGCGCGCAACTCTCACAAGTTGGTCAGCAACATCCGTCCGCTTCTTCAGCGATCCAAGCTCGCCACTGGATGGGCGACACTTAAAGTCCTCAGCACCGGCTTTTATTCCACCTGACTCGATCGGGGATCAGCCGAGGCCTTCACTTCTTCTCCTTTCTTCCCGACACCACCACGCAGCCCCACTCTCATATACTGATTAACTCGCTAACTTACCGCAAGATCTAACTTTACAATTACACTCGCCTGACTCTAAATCCCTTACCTCGCTCCTCTCCCCGCTCGAATCCGTCGAGGATTGAGCGAGCCACGCGTTCATTCCTTCCACCTTTCTCACTTCCTGCCCTCTCTCAGCGCACACCTTTTCCGTACTAACTCCTAATTTACTACCTCAGCGCTAGAGCTATCTTCATGATCCCGTCCACCAGTCCCCCAAACCCCGGACTAGCACCTTCTCCAGCCTAAATCCGGCAAGGGGTGATGAAGTTACGACTTCACCTTTCCGCCACGCTCCTTTCCCCCCCCCTGCTTCACCACTCCAGTCATCGAATGCACCTGGCGCAGCTTCGCGTCCGTGCTCATTCGTCTTTCTCCCTTTCAGTCTTCCCCGATGGATGCCGAACTGCGCTCTAGCCCAGGCACTACAGCGGGTATTGATCGCTACAGATAGTACGACTGCGGTCTTCGAAGTCGAAATCCGCTAAGGAGTGTATAAAAACTCCCCTACCGATTCGAGCAGCCCCAAACGCGCACGGTCCCACGATAGCGTAACAACTGCGCTGCAGCTCCGGTCATCCTGGGATTTTCGGAGAAGACCAGCTATCAGACGGATCGGTCGGCCTTTCGCCTCTATACCAGAGTCCGACGTACGATTCGACCACCAGTATCGAAGCAGCCCCCACCTGCGAGTCCTCCGGCCTTGCTTTTCTTAGGCACGGCCGACCATCAGTCGGTCCGACACGGGCATGCTCACGCTCAAAAACCTCTCGCAATGGATCGTACTCGGCAGTCTATGCCCAGAGAAGAGTATGTTAATCTTCTCTGTATCGTTTCAATTTTGGACGGATGTCCCGTAGGACTCCATCGGGCAAATGCCCCTCAGTACTGCCACAGCCAAACGGCCTCTACGCCGGGCCTACCGGCGAAGAGCGGGCTTCGCTCTCAAGCAGCCCCGAGTACTTCCCACTAGACCCCCCCTCCCAATAGCTCAGTGGTATACCCTCAGGGCCGACTCTCCGGCCACGGTTGGTTTCGGAACCGGCCCCGGCCAAGTTAGAACCAAAAGGAAAAAAATATTAAATAAAATAAAAGGTAAAATCACTAGAAGGTAAGATCAATAAGAAGTTGAAGCAAGTGGGCCCGCGCTCGGATTCCCCCAGTAAAACTAAGGGGGATAGTCTCGCGGGACCCTTAACCCCTCAACCCTTCGATGCTCCAAGGCTCCTATGTTGCCGCCCTCTGGCCTCGATCCCCGCACCTCCATATCATGAATCCAATACCATAACCTATAGGGCTAAGCCCAGGCCTGAGACCATTATACGCCAAACCCCATGTAAGGCGGTCACCGTGCCGCATGACGCCCAAGGCCAAAAAGGCAGCCAAGGGTTCACCTCCTACTACAAACGAATCTGCGGCCGTTAAACACCCTCGTGGGCTTGCCCCAAATTTACGTCGTGGCTGCCTCGCGCCCCACCTCGTACGTCGGGCCTACCATTAGTCAACCGTGCCAAGTGAACACAAACCTTTTATTCCCTATTCTAATCTATAGCAAAATTCGGGTCGGTCAACTAAGCCGGCTGCTCAATCAAACGGAGGAATCACACGCGCGCCTTAAAACTGCGCGCCCACATACCCTCCATCTTACTAGTCAAGGCAAGTCACAAACCCGGTCGTGTCTCGCACGGTTTATTTTGACCCAACCTATTTTTTCTGTCACTTGCAAAAACCAAGGCGGATACCCTTATAAGGGTATTCGCGCCGACAACGTGGCAGTGGGTTCGATGTCCGATGGGGATCTGCAATGCGCCGGACAAGTTTCAATGGGTCATGAACGTCATGTTTCATTCGGTGACTTGCACGGTCGCCCTCACTAAACCAACAAGAATCTGAACTACGATTCACATTGAGTTTGACTGAGATTGGATTGACTTTTTGTGCCATTATTTGTTTGTTTTTTTTTGTTTCGTTTTTGTTTTCGAAGTTTTACGTGTAGAAGCAAATTCTCCAAATTTATGACCAACCATATCTTCAGTAATCTGTAAACCAGCTTCGAATTCTTCTAGGCAAGTCTTTGGGGTTACTATATAGAATTCCAACCTTACAGTTGCCTGGGAGTGCCTTTTCCAATCACTGAATTTTCCCAATCTTCTACAGTTTGGTCAGTGATTCCAAGCGGAATTTTGTCTGGTTTCGCACTTAAACATTTACCCAGATCCCTTCCCGCGATCTTGAATACTTGAGCTCTAGTTCCAAGTTTGAATTTTGCTGCGTACATTTTGGCCAGAGAGTGACGTAAAATAGTGGAAAAATACCACATGATACGGCATGGTTCATCAGATGAAATACACTCTCAAAATAATTGGAGATACCACAAGCGAATACCATATAACCTAATTGGCTACAAGTAGAATAAGCAATAACCCTTTTTAAATCATTTTGTAAAATTCCTGTAGTTGCCGCAAAAAAGGATGTCATAGCTCCCTCAAAAGTAATCACAATTAAAGCCTTGGGTGCGTATTCAAATAAGGTTACTATATAGAATTCCAACCTGACGGTTGCCTGGGAGTGCCTTTTCCACTCACTGATTTTTCCCAATACAACTTCGTCAACAAGACACGATTAACGCAGGGGATGATCAACTTTTGCGTCATCGTGTACATGGACGACATCTTGGCTTACTCAGAGACCTATCACGGCCATGCGCAACATATCGAGTGGACATAAGGCGCTCTGAGAGATGCTGGATTCAAGATCGCGCTTGAGAAAAACGAATTTTTCCTCTCGGAGATTTGGTTCTTGGGCTACGTTGTGACACGTGGAGGATTGCGGCCTGACTCGAGAAAGGTCATGGCAGTGAAAGAAGCCTCTGTTCCCACGTCGCTAACGCAGGTTCGAGCCTTCTTGGGGTTGGCATCGTACTATCGCCGTTTCATCAAGGGCTTCGCCGCGATTGCACGACCCTTGACGAACCTGCTACGGAAGGACCAACCCCTTAGTTGGGACGCGGAGTGCGAGCAGGCCTTCGCGACCCTCAAGGAAGCTTTAGCAACGACACCTATTTTGATCCGACCGGACCCCTCGAAGCAGTTAATTCTCATCACGGACTTGCAAGAGGAGGCTATTTTCGCTATCGTCATCGAGTATGCGTCGCGAACTGTACCAGACGAATGAAAGAACAAGTCCGCTCCACAAGGCGAATGCTATGCGGTAGTGTGGGGAATCCAACACTTCCATCCGTATCTGTACGGACAGAAGTTCCTCCTTGTCACCGATCATGAGCCCCTGTTAGCGCTGAAGAGACTCTCTAATTACACGGGCATGATTGGCCGATGGGCGGTCCGCCTACAGGAGTACGACTTCGACATCATCCACCAAAAGACAGAGAGACACGGCAACACGGACGGGCTGACACATCTGCATCGACCAGCTAAAGTGCCTAAGGCAGAGGAGATCGTCCCGTGGAAGGAACCGGAGTCGGTGAACGGGCCCAAGTTCGGACAAGTGGCCGTTCTCCCACGTGGCAAGAGGCAGGCGGGTCGCAATGGGTGACAAAGGCAATCCTACAACCCCTCCCTCTCCCCTCTCCTCCTCATCTCTTCTCTCCCTGCCTGATAAATTTTGTTATTTTATGTGAAGCGATTTCTCGCGTATACTCGGTCTCTCTATGCCCTAACGGAGAGGGATATGCGGAATGGGTAGATTGTCGACAATGTGTCGCACGAGCCCACACCTCGTGCATCAAATACCGAAATGACAATAAGCCCTGGTTGTGCCCCTTGTGTCGGGTTAAGTTCCCGACCGAGGCTCGCTTTTTAGACGCCACGTCAGAAGGACTGGAAAAGACCCGGAGGTTTCGAAGGGCCGAAGTATGGACGAATATCGCCTTGATTGCTACTCTAGTGGGTAACCCCCTCCAGGACTTCACCAAGGAAGATCGGAGGAGGGCCAATGAAAGGGCTCGGGACTACCGCTGGAATGAGGGACGATTGGAANGGTAACCCCCTCCAGGACTTCACCAAGGAAGATCGGAGGAGGGCCAATGAAAGGGCTCGGGACTACCGCTGGAATGAGGGACGATTGGAAAAACGAAAAACGGATGGTAGTGGGATTTGGATGGTAGTACCGCACCCGTTCATGAGGTATGACTGGGTGAAGACAGCACATGAGGAAACGGCTGCCCACTTTGCCGTGCGGATCACGGAGGCGGCGATCGACAAAAACGAGTGGTATTGGTCCGATGTGAAATTCGTCGTCACGAACTGTCAAGTCTGCGCTGCTGACAAGGCATCGATTCGGCCGCCAAGATCGGTAGTGCCAACGATAGTTGAACGACCGTTCCAAAGGGTTAGCATGGATACTACCGATATTGTGGCACCCCCTGAACCCAATAGCTATGAATATTCAGTCCTACTCGTGTTCGTGGATCATTTTTCGAAATTGATCGAGGCATATCCCTGTCGAACGCGACAGGCGGCCGAAATTGCGCGATACGTCAATCGGTTTTTAGGGATGCACCAGGACACGGAGGAAATTTTGACCGATAATGGGGTAGAATTCAGGGGGGAAGTCTTGAGGAATCTGGTCGTACACGGTGTCGCTAATCGGAACACCGCACCCCACATGTCGCAATCCAACGGGCTGGTAGAAAAATGCCAATAGGGTGATAAAGACTGCGCTACAACGCAATATCGCGGCATGGGACCCCAGGCCCTGGCCCGATATCGTAGATCACATCTTGGCGGTCCATCGAGGAACGCCCAACGAATCGACGGGCTTGAGCCCGTTTCAGTTAAGGACCAATAGCGTGGCTTGTGTTTCAATACCGAGGCTCCCGGACGAATTTTCGTTGAACCAACGGCCCACAAGGGCCACGGTTCGAGACAAGGCCAAACGACACCTGGAACTGATGGAGAGGTCTCTGCACCGGTTAGCCCGAAAGCGCCAGAAAATGATCGAGTTTGTCCACGGACGACAGGTCCGTAGTTATGAGGCCCGGAACGGGAACGCGGTTCACGGCCCTTGTACAAATTAGGGGACTTGGTGCAGGTAAGGAAATGTGCTCGCCAAGGTAAGATAGCGCCACGATTCTTCGGGCGATTCCGAGTGATCGAGCTTGGACCGATCGGAGTGAACACCATGCGCCTCATGCCGGAGGTCTCGGGAAGCCGATCGGCGCGCCCGATCGTTCGCCACGTGTCTTACCTGCGTCCCCTCCCTCCCCATCTCCTGCGCCATCTTTTTCTTCGGAAGAAGACGACGACTCTCCATTGCCATCTTCTTCCCCTGCATCTCTTGCCTTGTCCCCTACTTCGTCCCCACCACCATCGCCATGAGCTTTCTCATGGAGCGAGCCCTCGGCGACCATATCTTAACGCCACGGGGTTACATCTCAGCGATTCGGCAGCTTCGTCATCCATGGTTCAATCTGGATCTTCTACGACTGGCACAGTTCTTCTGCACTTCGGGAGTGTACGCAGCGGCCGAGTTCCGATTCGCGGGTAGTTCTAAGGCAGTCGTGCTGGCTGAAGTGTTGGCCGTTCATCGGCGATCAACCCTAGGGATTAGCCACATGTCCACGGTCGTTGGCTTCAGAGGCGATATCAGCACGGTCAGTGCGCTACGGCATACAGCCATCCGCACGTCATTGAGGGAGTGGGCGCAACAATTGTCGACGAAGTGGAACCACTGGCTTACGCGCCACGGAGATAATATTTTCCCCACAGACGGCATCGAACTCGGTGGTATTTGGGCGTTCCAGCACGAGCCAGCGGTGGTGCTGCCGGAACTCCGAGTCATCCCCTTCCAGCGTTCCCGATGAACCACTCCCAACTCTCCACCTTATCCCTCCCATCTCTCTTTCCCACCTTCTTCCAGTCTGGAGTCCACCCTCGCTTCTTCTTCTGTCTGGAGTCGCTCGCTGTCCCCCTTCTCGATCCCACGCAGTGGAGGCGTTGGCGTGAACACTTCGTCGATCTGTCGGTATGCCTGATTGGAGTACGAATCACATGGACCAAGGACGAGGAACACCGCGAGTGGTTTGAGTACTTGGAGCTGATGATCGTTCAAGCCTGGAGGACCGACGTGGAAGGCGATCTTCGCGGATTCCTGTACGGATCGGTGCGCCCCAGTCATCGCCAGCCGATCACCTTAGAGCTGACGGTCCCCTTTGCGCAGTTAGCAAACGATCTCCCACTTGAGATCGTCTCGCAAAGTGACGACATCCCGGTTCCGTATGTCCTCACGCGGACCCTAACGTTGCATCTTCAGCGGTCGGCGTGCCTGGAGGAGCCAGGAACCAGCTGCAATCCTCCATCACAGCGGGATTATCTGGACTCATGGGAGATCATCGATCTCACCTTTTTCCAAGATCGGGCGGCCTCCGAGGACGAAGAAATAGCGATCGAGGAAGAGAGCGCTGACGAAGAAAAAGAAGAAGCCGCGGAAGAGGACGAGGAGGAAGAAACCCCGGAGGAAGGAAGTTATAGCGAGCACAAAGAGGGAGAGCAAAGTGAAGGCGAGGAAGAAGACGAGGAAGAAGAAGAGGAGCTAGAGTTGGAGGAGTCTGAGTGGGAGATCTCAGTGGAGGGGCTCGAGCGAATAGAAGCGGAGCAGGCAGAAGACCCCGAAGCGGCGCGCAAAAGAGACGAAATCACGGCCGGGAAACGACAACTGGAGTTTGCCAGCGCGGCAAATTTGTTGATCAGCGATGATCCAGCCCGCGATCCCGAGCCGCCTAAGCCTGAGGATGGAGAACAGGCCGAGACTTCGAGCGCACCGGCAGGACGGCGACGAAGTCGATCGCCCTCCCCCTCCCGCCCCGACCGTCCATCAGTTCGAGCCCGTACTTATACGGGGCATCGGGCTTCGTCCCCCGTCGTTATCCCGCCGTCCCCTTCACTACCTCACCCTCCATCAGATCAGTACCCATGTCACCTTCCCCCGTAACCCCTTACCCATCGACACCTTTCGATTCTTCTACACCACTCGCCTCGTCGTTACCATTCACCCCCATCCCTTGACCCGATGCGTCTTCCCCGATTTCTACCTCCATACCCTTCTCCTAAGTGCCGCTGTCGGAAGACAATGTGGTGCAGCAGCGGAAAATGACTCGCCGCAGTCAACCCCGCGATGCGTCTAAATCGCGCCTAAGGCGTCCATAGTCATGGTTAAACTGGACACTAGCGCGACAGTTGGATTTCCCCTGAGCCGAAATCAAGGGAAAGACAGCGCGGCAGTACGGTCCTCCGGAGACCTGATCGTCCTCGTTGGACTGGACTGTCGCGACCGCAATGGGCCAATTAGTGGGGTCCAGTTCAAACGACACTTGAAACGGACCAAGGGTTAGCGAGATATTCAAGTTTGACCGGTTTGGACCGGATCGACACGATCGCGTAACCCGACCAGGAAAAGAATAGCCCTAAGTAGCCATATAGATGAAGAGCCAGGCCCGAATAATTAAAATAGGGTCATGTGCTATTTTTAGCACGGGACTGACTGTTCGTTTCCCAAAGTCGGGCCTGCGCCAGTCCCGTTCTCAAAATAACACAGTCCCACGCTATTTTTAGCGTGGGACTGACTGTTCATCTCTCGGGAACTGGGCCTGCGCCAGTCCCGTTCTAAAAATAGGACTGACTGTTCATATCCCGAGGTCGGGACTGCTGCTATTTTTAGCACAGGCCTGGTCTAGAGTTTGACCACAGCCCCGACCGTGGGACTGCAGCACATCCCTGATCACCTGGCCTCTCCATTATAAAAGAGAGGCCACGCCACCCAAGAGAGACAGATCAGCATGCGTGGTACACGTGGCACGGATCAAACAGATTGAGAGCATGCCTACTTGCAGAATACAACAATACAGGCAGAACGGCAAGTAAGAATCTCTCACACGCGGTGACGTGGAGCGACTGGCGGGGCAGCGAGGAAGGAGAAGGACGGAAGCTACTGCGTTAAAGCAAGTAGAAGGAGGGACGACCAAGACATGCAAGAATGAGGTAAAGGGAAGGGGGGTGCTCGGGGAAGTAAGGCGGTCTCAATTCTCACAAGGACCACTTTGCTTTCTCCCTCATCTCCTCCCCTATCATCTTTTTTTTGCTTCCCTGCTCGCTCTCGCTTCTTTCCTTCTTCTCACTCGAATGTGTGGGGTCTGTCTAATCCCCCGCGAGCCCATTGGCTCATAGCAAGGTTCTGATCTACCTTTGACCGCCTGCATGCACTGTGCCCGAGGGCAGCTGGTGCTGAGCACTCGGGCTTGCCGTGCTCAAGGGCTGAGGATACCGTGTGCCCCAAACGCCGTGCCTGAAAATTGTTGAGATTGGGAACTCACGCACACTGTGCCTAGGGCAGTTGATACTGTGCGCCCTTGCTTACCATACTTAAGGGCTGATGCTGTGCGTTCAACTGCTCTGAGCACAAAGACTATTAATGTTGAGTCATGCGGTGAATCCTGCCATATCCAGAGTGCTATACTTCGTTGTGCCTGGGTTTGAATCTGTCGAGGGTTACATGATCCGTATTTTGAATCAGCAAGCATTTGTCATAGTATTTGGCTGCACCAATAGACACTCAAACAGGGCTTCATAATTGGTTGTGACAATGAGCACTTAAGCTGAGTGATTAGCTGTGCCAATGGGCACTTGAATAGAGCATGATATTCGAGTCCCTTGATTTGCTATATCAAGAGACGATTCTCTGCATAATGGTCCAACCGCGACTGTGCACACTCGAATTTAAGTGTGACATTGCGCTCTGATCTTGGGTGTCGTGGGCGCACCATGTCTAAGTACCAAGTCTGCGACAGTACCATATTTGAGCATTCCTCAAACACTGCGCACAGAACGCACCATACTTGAGTATCATGTCTGAGCGCAGAAAGCGCACCATACCAAAGTACCATAACTGTGCGCAGTTGCACATCGTATCTGAGGCCCATTCGTGCTACTTGCCACTGTGCGCAGTTGCGCATCGTATCTGAGGCCCATTCGTGCTATTTGCCACTGTGCGCAGTTGCGCACCGTATCTGAAGACCATGTGTGCTATTTGCCACTGTTCGCAGTTGCGCACCGTATCTGAAGACTATTTGTGCTATTTGCCACTGTGCGCAGTTGCGCACCGTATCTGAAGACCACTTGTGCTATTTCGCCACTGTGCGCAGTTGCGCACCGTATCTGAAGACCATTTGTGCTATTTGCCGCTGTGCGCAGTTGCGCACCGTATCTGAGGACCATTTGTTCTATCCGCCACTGTGCGCAATCGCGCACCGTGACTGAGGACCATTTGTGCTATCTGCCCTGCGCGCTGTTGTGGGCCGCACTTGAGGGCCATATCTGAGTTTACTAGTATGCGCATCGCACTTGAAGGCTATTTCGCTGTTTACCACTGTGCGCAGTGCGCACCACACTTGATGGCCATATCAGAGTTGGCTACTGTGCATACCACACTTGAGGGCCATATCATAGTTGGCTACTGTGCATACCACACTTGAGGGCCATATCAGAGTTGGCAACTGTGCATACCATACTTGAGGGCCATATCGAAGTTGGCAACTGTGTATACCGCACTTGAGGGCTATATCCGAGTTAGCAACTGTGCATACCGCACTTGAGGGCCATATCCAAGTTAGCAACTGTGTATACCGCACTTGAGGGCCATATCCGAGTTTGCAAATGTGCGCAGCCTGCACGCTGCACTTAAGGGCTAAATCTGATTTTTTTTGCAACTGCGCGGAATATGCGCACTATACTTGAGTGCTATTCGCAAGTGCTATTTCTGAACCATGCCATTTCGCAAGAACCATTTCTGAACAGTGCTCATCATGAGTGAGGGCCATTCCTGAATTTTACGCAGTAAGCACACCATGTTTGAGAGTTATTCTCAATTGAGCAGGACCAGTCTCAGTTGCATCGAAGGTGCTTCAACTGAGCACTGAATCAGAGAGCCATGTATGACCGATTCCGGACCCAAAGCACAAGTGCCGATTTCAACTGAATGGATATTAAATAGCTGATTTTGAGGTTGCACTTACTGTTTTGATGACAATGGTGGTCAAGTTTAGCATATGGTAATGCTGTTGTAAACAGTAAGCAAAGATCGATTGTCGTTTGACCGACAGATTGAGCATGCGACAAGAATATTAATATTATTATTTTTTTTTAAAGTGCGTGCGCGTGTGCGCCCAGATTAGATAATCATTTTCAGTGCGCGCCCGCGCGCGCCCAGACCAGATAATTATTTTCAGTGCGCGCCCACACGCGCCCAGATCAGATAATTATTTTCAGTGCGCGCCCGCGCACGCCTAGATGAGATATGTATTTTCAGTGCGCGCCCGCGCACGCCCAGACCAGATATTGCGCGCCCAAGCTTGAGAGTGCGTGCCCATGCGCGCCCAAGCTTGATATTGCCGTTAGAGTGCGCGTCTGTGCGCGCCCAAGCTTGAGAGTGCGCGCCCATGCGCCCCCAAGCTTGATATTGTTGTTAGAGTGCGCGCCCATGCGCGCCCATGCTTGAGAGAGAGCGCCCATGCTTGAGAGAGCGCGCCCATGCTTGAGAGAGCGCGCCCATGCGCAACCAAGCTTGATATTGCCGTTAGAGTGCGCGTTCGTGCGCGCCCAAGCTTGAGAGTGCACGCCCACGCGCGCCCAAGCTTGATATTGCAGTTAGAGTGCGCGTCCATGCGCGCCCAAGCTTGAGAGTGCGCACCCATGCGCACCCAAGCTTGGTATTGCAGTTAAAGTGCGCGCCCATGCGCGCCCAAGCCTGGCATAGCAGTTAGAGTGCGCGCCCATGTGCACTTGCGCCGGATATGTGTGCGCCCAAGCTAGATATAGTTGTTTGAGTGCGAGCCCATGTATGCCCGAGCATAGGATTGCTAGCTGGGATGATTTGCCATCACGCTCCCGTTGATTTATTTCCTCGCTGATCAGCATCACCTCATGCACGTGATTCTTTCCCTCGCACGGGGAGCATTGGCAGTTCAGTCCCTGCACAGATGATCTGGCTCAGTCTATCCCCAGTACATTCAGCATTTACGACTGGTCCCTGTGCATGAGATGTTCTATTGATCAGTTGCTGTTCAGCCGGGCCCTTCAGGCGGGCCTACTTGAGATTGAGTTGTTGATTTAGCCGGGCTCCTTCAGGCGGGCCCACTTCTCGAGATTGTTGCAATTTTCAGCCAGGCCCCTTCAGGTGGGCCCTTTCTTCTGATAGCTGCTGTTCAGCCAGGCCTATTCAGGCGGGCTTTATATTGAGTTGTTGTTCAGCCGGGCCCATTTAGGCAAGTCCTATTTCGAGTCGCAGGTCGGTCAAGCCAATCAGACAGGCGTCCATATTGAGTTGTTGATTGCTATCTGGCCAGGTCTTGGAGGGAGTATCTGCATCAGTGAGAGCGTGCATTCCATCCAAGCTGGCCCGACGTCGTGAGACTACCCCTAAGTGGGGTAGATTGATTGAGAGGTTCTGCTATAGACATGTGGGACATCAGAGTTTCACTGTCAGGGCTAATGAGTTCTCGACTTCGAGACACACGCTCGTGATCACCTACTCGGTGAAGGGGGCAGAGACGGGAGTGAAGGGAACCACATACGACAGGATTGCGGATTACATATTTCGCAGGGAGAGCTATTGGAGGGACAACTGGCTGCACGTGGTGTTTCCTCGCGTACCTTCAGCTCCTGGGGGTGTGCTCTTCGATTTTGACGGATGCAACCCCAAGCTCCTTAGTGAGCCCCGTAGCAAGGAGAAGAGGCGGAAGGATGACCGGATCCAGAGAGAGATAACCAGACCGGAGTCTCAATCACTACATGTGTCCCAAAATTAGAGACAGATGAGTCGAATTTGGAGCCCTGCTCTTTGAGTGACCTTGATCTTGGCGATTATTTCGACTGGGACACTCACAGGGGCTGAGTTTGTGGACAGCGAAAGGAGCGTTGGAGACCAGTGAGCGGAAACGTCGGAGGGCGACATTGAGGAGGATCGCACATCTTCTTGCGCGGTGTCTTCTTGAGGGTGATTGACTCCT